CAGCGGGGACCCGGCCTCCCCAGTCCCGCACACTCCTCAAGGAAACTCGCCTCTCCTCAAGGTCGTTGGGGGGGGTCCCCAATGGGCGCTTAACTCTCCTTGTCCGGAGGGGAAAAGAGCACCTTCTCCCAGCCTCTGTTGTCTAACTTAACTCCGTGGTATGTCATCACAAATCAGTTTCTTCTTACCCACAAGAGAGGATGATGCTTGGTGCTTCTGAGCAATGCTTTCTGAAGGACAGAGAAAGAGCTCCAAGGAGAGCTGGAGGCCCTGCTCCCTGCTAGCAGAGGTCCCCTTGCCTTTTTGGAGTCTTCTTTGGTTTTGGAGGTAGAGTGCTTGAAGCCCACCCACCCCTCATTACAGAAATCAACCCCATGGCCCACTAATCCACTCATGACCCCTGCCACCGTCCATAATAGCAGTAATAGCTGACGTTTATTGAGCATTTACTATGGGTCCAGCACATTTTACCCTCACACCCGTCTTATGAGTGCTGTGCTATTATAGGTCCATATCAGAGGTGAAATGGGGTAACTTTCCTAAATCTACAAGAGAAATGCTTCCAGCATTCAAAACAAGAAAATACCTCCTTATATTCCAAAATAGCCAGCTTTTTCCCCCAGTACTCCTATGAGTGCTGAAAAGTTAATTCATTCAGCCCTCATTTAGCCAGGCATGGTGACATGTGCCATACCTGTAGTCTCCGCTGCTCAGGAAGCTACAATGGGAGGGTCACTTGAGCCCAAGAGTTTCAGACCAGCTTGGGCAACAGAGCAGGACCCCAGTGTCAACAACAGCAGCAACAACAACAAAAAAATGTCACATTTGGCCCTCACTCTGGTCAGCTTCTGCATGCCAGGAATTGCAGCAGAGCCCTGTGGCTTTCCAACTTGAAAGGGCATTAAAATGGCCTGGAAGATAGGTGCAGATAGCTGGGCCCAGCCCCTGGAGCCACTAATTTAGGAAGTCTTCCCTGATGACAGACAGGGGGCATCTCAGAAAAACCATGGGGCAGGGACATATCTTGAAAACCACTGGGCTAAAGGACTTAAACATATTGATTCTAACTAGGATGCCAAAAGGAAGGTATAATTTTTTCCCTCGTTTTATAGATGATAAAATTGTAGCTCAGAGAAATTAAGTGACTTGCCAGGGGCCAATCTGGATCTGAGCACTTACTACATATAGGACAGGCATTTTTTATATGTCTCATTTAGTGCTTATAATAACCCTATGAGGTAGTTATTACTTTTATTCCCAATATACAAATGAAAAAATGGGCTCAAAGATGAACTTACCAAAGTATACCTGCATACCTGAGAAGTAGGTAAACAACATTCAGAAAATGCAGCTTTTCACCTCTCCAAAAGAACAGTTCTGTCAGGACTTACTGCTCCTTGGAGCTCCCGGTGTTCCTTTTGCTTCTGCCCTCTTTAGCCCTACTTCTCCCAGAGGTCTAGGACAGGAGCCAGACACAAGATTCCAGTCTCCAGCCTGGAGCTAGCATTAGAGGATGCCCTTCTGGTGAGAGACCCCAGCTCCTTCCTCCCAGAGCCCCAGAAAACTACAGATCTGAAAACCACAGATCCCGGTGGGAAGAGGTGGACAGGGAAGCACTCAGGAAAAGAAACTCGCTCCCTCAGGGCTCCAGGGAGTGCATCAGCTGCCACTGCAATACTCATTTCCACCCTAGCCCAGGAACTAGGGTCCTGGAGAAGATTTCAGGGACCAAGTTTTCCCTCCTGAACCTCAGCCAACCCCAGCCACATAAGTTACCCGAGATGCACAACAAAAAGGAAAGGCTTTGATTGCTTTAAATGCAGGGGGGGGGCAGAAGAGAGAACAGTTTTTTTAAGGTCTGGCTCACAGCACTGTGCATTTTTGCCTGATATGGATGACTTAACTCTAATGCACTCAGGACTCTCTGAGCAAAACATTGTCATTCCCTTCATAGCCTGGAGGAGATTAAGGAATCTGGCAAAAATGATTTCCTTAGAGTCCGAAGCACTGCTCAGGTTAAGGCATCAGAGAAGGTGGACAAGCCTGGCTCCTGCACCACACACAGCCCTCCCCATGGGGTGTCAGGAAGTCCAGGAAAGCCTGTGCTGCAGGGAGAGGCAGGAGCAAGAGCAGGTGATTCCCCCAGACACCCCTGATGGCTGCTTAGCAGGATGCTCAGCAGGATGGCTAGCTCAAGAAAGGACTGGTCAGCAGCACCAGGCAGGCCCCACTCTGCCTTCTGACCTTGGGAAAGCCAGAAGTGCTATATTCTGTGCACATCCCCTAAACCAGCACAGGGATGGCTATAAAGTCTCCTACTTCCTGGGCTGTCAGGAAGCCAAAACATGAGACTGTAAAACACAAGTACATTGGTGAGTGGGCAGCCTGCCAGTAGAGAATGGTGTTTGAAAAGGGGGACAGGGCTGTGCCCATCCCAGACTTGGATATAACCAGGGCACCCCTCACTTCCCTCAATGACCAGTGTCAGCCAAGAATAATGTCTCCAGGCTGCTCTCACATTGATTGAAATGTTTACCCTGTAGCATATCTTGGATTATTTCCCCAGGGCTGTTTCCCTGAAGCAAAGGATTTTGCTTGGTCCTAAACTCAACTCTTTAGAATGTTGAGGAGCGTGTGTGTGTGTGTGTGTGTGTGTGTGTGTGTGTGTGTGTATTTGGGACTAAAGCTGGCCTCTTTTAGCACTGTGGGAGTAATGAGGAAGTCATTGTCCACCCCCACCACCCCCATCGTGGACCTGTGGAATTGGATTCTCAGCCCCCACAGCCTTGCCTTTCTTCACTATTTAGTGACCTCAGCAGCCATTTCCTTGTCATCTTCTGAAGTCTCAGCCCCCCTGCCACCCTCATCTGGATTCTAGGGTTGCCTAGTTGTAGACTCGGGATTCTCATGTTTTGTCAAAATTAAAAAGTAATCACCGGGCCTGGTGGTACACGCCAGTAATCTCTGTGCGGCTGGGCAGCTGAAGCTGGAGGATCACAAGATGGAGCCCAGCCTGGGCAATTTAGTGAGACTCTATCTAAATATTTTTTAAAAGCTGCAGATGCAGCTCAGTGAAAAAGCCCCCAGTACAAAACAAAACAACAACAAAAAATCAACGCTTGCAAATATTATTAAATAGTCACACTAGCAGGGATTTAATTGCAGCAGTCATACAGTCCAAGTCCAGCACCAGGTGGGCAACAACCTTTCTCCACATTTTCGCACATTCAGGGATCAGCTGTACCCACCACTAGGCAGGAGGAAGAAAGAGGGCAATATGTCACCCACTCTAAGTTTAGCTCTGAGAGCATAGACCACATGGCAGCATGGCAAGCGGAAATTCAGCTTAGACACTTTGGCCTCAGGGGAGTTAGAGAGCTCAGAGTTAGAGCTGGAAGGCAGAAAGTGGGCCGAGGGCAGCAGGACAGGCCCCCTCCTGGGGTGGAGGCCCTGGGGGGAAGCAGGGCTGGGCCCAGAGACAAAGGAAAGATTTCAGCTCTCTCTCCCTAGGCAACCTGCCGTTTCCTGCCCACCCCCAGGAGCTTTGCAGGGATAGAATCATGCCCTTGAGACAATGCTCAGTGACACCAGCTTTGCAAACAAGTCCAAAAAACAGTGTGCCTGTCCCTCCTCTTACAGGCCACTGAAACCAAAGTTTGTGTTAGGCCAGAGCATCCATGGCTTACGTGGACATCCCCACATCCCCTAAAGGACAACCCCTGGGTGTGGGGGTGGTCATGAGACTCCAGGCTACCTAACCTGGAGCTAGCTAGGCAGTCAGAAAGGCTAAGGGACTCAGCCCTCTCTCTGTCCCCACAGGCCTGCACCTCCAGCACCTCAGATTCTTTCCAGATCCAAACCCGAGACCTCCCTCCACTTCTTTCCTCAACACTTTTCCAGGAACTCCTAGATTATCTTTGTCTTATTATTTTTTCGGAGTGGGACTGAACACCTTCTCCTTAATTGTGTTCTCATTAAACAAGCTTTTAATAAATACACACCAAGGGAAAGAGGGATGTGCAACACAGCATCCTCACAAGTGATAATTAAACACAGATCATAGCAATTAAGCAAATCAGGGAACAAGGAAGGGGTGGGCGCAACAGATATATTATCAGTTATACGCTTAGAAAGAGACTGGAGCCCCATGAACCTCAGTTGCAATGATATGGCCTTTGGAATTGCTTCTCAGTTTAAGAAAACAGCATCTTGTCAAGTTATCAAAAATCACAGTAGTCTGGGAGACTGGGTTTGATATGGCAAGAGGGGAAGAAGACTCCTGGGAATGCGCTGCTCCTGAAACAGTCTCCCCAGCTGTGAAGACAGCAGCACTGGGCTCCTCCACAAAAACTGTATCCTTCCTTCCCAAGCCCTAAAGCCTCATCCTCCAGCCCTAAGCATAATTCCTACTGACCTTCCCCTCACCAGACTTCTGGAGATTAGGATGCAGCTCAGTGAGACAAGGGCTTTGTCTCCATTCCACCCCATATGACCATCGATTAGCCATGGAAGCATGGGCAAACCACTGTGCCTGTCTGGACCATGCCTTCCCCATTCTTAGGAGAGTTCTCTGCTGGCTCTGGTGGGGCTCCAGAGAGCAGCTCCAGCTGGGTATCTTGTCTTTTCTGCATCTCCCCCACTAGACCAAGCTCAGAGTAATGCCTCTGTGAGGGCTCAGTCAGTGGCTCTCTGGGCAAAGCCCTAAGGGAAGCCACGAAGTTGTCCCTCTGCAGAGTAGAGGGGCAGGGACCAGTAGGTGGGCCCAGTTCTGGGGTCTGCTGGCCTCCCACCTGCAAGCCACCCTGCTCTGTCCTGGGCTCCCAGAAGGGAGATCAGGAGTTAATCCAAACTTGCTCCAGTAGGACCCTGCCCCTACCTGTCTACTCAGCAGAGTAGTCCCTGCAGGAGATGGGGGCATGCACCTGGACAAACATACCAAGATTGTGCCCCGCTCCCACACACACATACACACGTAGTTCCCAGTTCCCAGGCTTCCAGAGAAGCCTGGTTCTATGAATATTCTAGCAGCCCACAGCCTGACACCCCAACAGCCAACAAGGCACAGGAGGCAAGGCAGCCCACAACATAAAGCAGGGTAGTTTAATGACTCGATGAGTTTCAATACCTCGGTGGCCCCTTACCTGGCCATGGTCACAGTGGTGACCATGAGAGGCGATGATGAGGGGGTCTTATGGACTATATCTATCCCATGAGAAAGAACCTCAGGCCTCAGAGACCAACTTCATTAGGGTCACTGTGAAACTTGCAGCACATCTGTGCCAAAGGGACAAGAGAAACAGTGTCTTTTGTCCAGCTGCAGGGCTAAATAGTGGCTCTGAAGTAAGGAAATGCTCCAGCCCCCTCCACTACCAGGTACCCACACCACAGGTCTGCCCAGTTTTACAGGTAAAGAAAGAGCAGTGGCTTCCCATAGAGGCCTCTGTCCCCCTACTTTCAGCACAAACACCTCTTCCATGTGTCCAGTGGGAGAAGCTGAAAGCCATATGTGACAAACATAAACAGGAAGAGGCCCAGGTGCCAGGGACAGAGTCGGCCTCCACTGAAGTCTGGACATGATTTATGAGGAGACTACATTCTGGACTAATATCATTCCCCACTCTCTTGGAGTTTGACACTCAAAACTATCATGTGTGTATTAATAGATATTAATACTCTGTTCTCTCCCTGTCCTCTGGACAGGTGTCCTCAGTCCACAGAGTCACTCCCAATGAAGACAGGGGCAAGCCAAATAGGTTTTCCTTATCGGATCTCTATAGGAAGAAAGACAAGGCCCTTCTTAAAAGCTGGCTTTTGAATGGGCCTCCAAGTCCCTCCAAGCCTGTCCAGTATTTGGAGTGGAGCTGCAGGGACGGGGCAGTGGCACTGGAGAAGGTAGAGGGCTGAGAAGCCTAGAAAAAAGAGCCCAGGAGGAAGGTGAGTGCCCTGCTCTCCCACTGGTACAGGTCTAAAGCCTGGGAAACAAGCAAACAGCTCCGGGCAGGGGTGGAAACCACCATCCTAACAATCACGTGCAATCCACCTGACATGCCCTGAACCCGAGGTCCAGACCTCCTCCCCCAGCATGCCCGAGCCCTGGAGCCTAGGACCTCAGGAGGCTTCCACTGCAGCTTCAAAGGCCTGGCGCTCAGGGCGCCAGAGACTGCAAAAAAACTGATCTCAAGACTGGCCGATGGGGTGAGGGGGCGCGCCTGGTGCCCGGGGTGCACAGTCTCTGACAGAGCCGAGCGTCCGGCGGGAAGACGGTGGGCACCAAGCTCATTCCGTGCAACGCTCCAACACCCACCCGGTCCGTGGCACCCGAACTCTCGAGTGCTCCCCGGGGGGCTGGGTTGGGGGAAGAAAGAGGCAAGGGAAGAGACCAAGCTGGGGCCGTCTTACCCAAAAACCCAGTGCTCGGCCATCTCGCCTGGGCTTTGCCTCGGTCCCCAGCCCCGGACATCGTCCTGTTCTCTGCGGAGCGGAGCGCGGGGATGGATGGGGCACTGGGCACCGCAGCTCTCTCCGCCAGGGGTCGGGAATCTGCCTCTCAGCTGCCGGGAGCTCTGCGCCGCGGGTCGGGGCTCGGGAAAGTTAGCGCCAA